AATGTCATATGGGTTTGCTATGAATAGGCACTGACTCAGTATGGCCAGTTGTTGGTGCTAGTGTATTTAAACCACCTAATTCAGTTTGTATTCCTGAAGTGAAGTTGTAGGATGCACACTGGACTGTGAACCACAAGGTCAGCGGTTCAAACCCACCAGCTGCTCCTCGAAGACCCTGTACAGGGCCACTATGAGTCAGAATCAATATGATGGCTCTTAACAACAATTTTTTTTCAATTTTAATAACTAGGTATATCTTAATAATATGGACTTAGTTATTTTCTCGTAATGTATCAAATTGAATGCCACTATCTGCTCTTTATAGGAGACCTGGTGTGGCATTGTGGGTTAATGCACTGGACTGCAGGGTCTGTGGAACCACAAAGTTCAAGCTCACCAGCAGGTCCTTAGAAACCCTGTAAAGGGCTGTGAGTAGGAACTGACTTTAACAACAACAATATCAACTCTTTTTACTCTATTCCAGCCAAAATTAAAAACAAAAAACTCAGCACCATCAAGTCAATTCTGACTCAAAGCAACCCTATATAGGATTTCCTATACTGCAGATCTTATGGGAGCGGACAGCCTCATTTTTCTCCCAAGTACTGTCTGGAGGGTCTGGGATTGCATGCAACGTCTCACGCTCCCTGGAATGGTGCATCTTTCTCTTCTCTCCCACTATTCATCAAGGAGAGAATATGACCTAGAAGCAAAGCTACATGGAGTTTACTTAAGATGCCATAGAGGATCATTCCATAAGAAACTGGAACTCTTAAAGAACTAGGCTCCAACCTAACAAATATTAGTACATTTTTCAGGGACAGAAGGAGCTGATTTAAAGGACTTTATCTCATTAAAGATCCCCTTTCCTCTGCCCCACACAACTCAACCAATGAAGCCACATTCTGGGGAAATTCTACCCTAACCAAACTTGACTAAACCAAGTTTGTCTTCACTCTGTCCGCTTACCTTGTCACAAGATCAACTTGAATTTTCTGCTGTGCTGCTGTGGGAGAAACATGAGGCTTTCTGCTCCCATAAAGATTTGCAGCCTCAGAAACCCTGTGCAGAGTCACTATGACTCACCAGTACTTAACAACAACAACAACATCACTCCAAGTCTTTTTTCAATAGAATCTACTTACACACATGTACATTCATATATATACATATATATATATATATATACACACATATTTTCCCACTTTTGTTTATTTTTGTCCTGAAGCCACTGGCATTTCTCTGCAGTGAATCACACTGTGAGACCATTTCATAAAGACCTCCTCAAAGAGCTCCTCTCTTCCCCGGGGAGAAGGGAGCTTGGGACATGACAGCCTGTCCCAGCACGTTGCCGCACAGCGTGTGGGAAGTAATAAAGAGACGCTGTTTCTTCTGCCACTTGACAAGGGTGGACCTGCAGGCAGGCAGCCTTCCCCACATTTCCAACTCTCGAGATGAGAGGAGAAAACAAAAGCTAACCCTCCATTACAGAAGTTTAGGGCCATTGTTTGAGAATTCAGATTTTTGCAACAAACTACTGGAACTGTCCAGAGGTGGGAGGAAGAAAACAAGAAGAGAGAAGACAGATGCAGGCGCTCCTCTGGGCCTCACTGTTTCCTAGGAGCACATATGCACACCTTATGCTTCAGGCCCTTGTGACGCTTCCTGCAAAGGCTCCAGCCTCCTCCCCTCGCTTGGGTGAGGTTGTTAGCTGCAGTTGAGTGGGCCCAGACTCCTGGTGACCGATGCACAACACAGTGGAACACAGCCAAGTCCTGTGCCATGGGCTGGGGATCAGCCCATTGTGATCCAGAGGGTTTCCCATTGGCTGATTTTCAGAAGTAGATTCCCAGGCCTTTCCTTCTCGTTATAATCCATCTTAGTCTGGAAGCTCCAGCTGAAACGTTCAGTATCATAGGATCATGGAAGCCTCCATCGATGGATGGAGGGGGTGGTATCTGCATAGGAGACATTGGCTGGGAATGGTCTCCCACATGGAAGGCAAGAGTGCTA